GCCAATCTAGTTACCTTAGCGCATAGAAACATCCCGAAATTAGAACTTAGAGGCCAATGTAAAATTTTAGGAAGTGCTGTACGGCCACCAGGCTAAATTCCGATACATCGTCCAACATAGATAAGCATCCGATGCAGCAGTTCAAGTCCCAATTTCCATGACGTAAATATGATAAAAGCCGAAATCCGAGATAAAGCTTTTCGAAAACAAGTGTGGGTGCGGCCATCCGGAGAACCCCAGTTTACAAAAAGTCGCTGAAGAAAATGCTAGCTAGTTATTATTACTGTACACTCAAGTGAGCAGTGCGGTGTTGGGTGGCGTTGCGTGTGATCCGTTTCTTACTGTCAACCAACACAGGTGACGACTGTACCTTCGGTCAATAAACACACGTTCTGGCGTCATTGCGTCTTTTCAACAAATCCCAGCAGTAGTCCAACAGCGTGAGCTAGCCGTCCAACCCAAGAAAAATTTTCAAGCAGGCAGGTTCCTAATGATAAAAAATTAATCAATGACAGAAATAATAAAAATTCCGACGAAAAGTATAGGGAAGTGCGTTCGAAAAACCTAGGATCGCAGTATTCCTGTGGCAGCAAGGAGCCATTGTGGCTTAACACTAAAAGGTCGTTCACAAGAATGATTACGGGACTAAAAGCAAATTTATGTCCAAAGGCAGATACGATATTTGCCAACGCAATAGTAGACGAAAAGCGATCACAGAAGTTCATATTTCAAAGTGGACAGTCACCACAGCTTCGAAATAGCATTCCCTGGATCTCTAGTTGAGGAATGCAGATAGTGAGCCAGGGCAGCGGTTTTCAAACCTTTTCGGGCCGCGGACTCCGTTTTAGTAAAATCGCATACGGCGGACCCCCTGAGGTATTTTTAACCACAGGACTAGGCCTTAACAAACTGAGAATGAGGCGGTGTCCAGAAAACGTCCATTACCGTACACTGAATAAACACGGGTGTTCGTTTAAGATGTGGAATGTCGTTACAAAAACAATGTACATCAAATCTTAATTTGGCGGATGAAATTGTATCTGACATGCACTGCTGACTTCTTTGATGTCTGGCGCTATTGAAGAAAACCGCAACCTCATAACCGGTTAAGCTTCAATGCTATTGCGATACTGTGCCTTGTGTGTTGGTCAAAAACGCATTTTCACACGGATAAATTGTGACAAATGGGAGAAGAATGGCGACAGACGTCTTGGCTATGCCAAAATACGTCTGGTTTTACACTAAAAACAGGTAGCGACACTTTGTGAAACTCCTCCTGGAGAGAAGAATGGGATAGCAACTACCAATACACCAAATTTCGATGATGAATAGTTTCAATGTTCTTGTCCTCAGCTAACGGCTTATTTTTATATTATATATTTAAATGTTAAAATGAGAATAAATGATTAAACACAAGTATTGCAAGACAGCCCAAATATGACTACCTCAGTAAATCAAACTTCGAAGAAAGTATAAAAGAAAGTAAACAGAAGTCACCTTTAGTAATGTAGCACACTCGTCAAACACCGAAATTTCCATGCTTTCCTTCTGAGCTTCCTTAAGTGGGATCGCACCAATGGGCTTCTCTTTCCGATTGGCCGCTTTCGGAGGCTAGCGACTTTCGAAATGATCGTACAAAGGAGCAATATGATTTACTTTTCGCCTCCTCTCTGGGGCAAATTCTGAGTTGTGCGGGCCTGCGTGGACGAAGAAAAATCCACACAACCTCTACCAATCACATTACAAGAGATCACCACACTACCTTCCCGACATCTGACAGCTTCGTTCACTGACATTTGAAGTTTCTGCCAAACCCAGGTTCCTTCTTGGAAGGAGTTTGCTTTACATTGGCCAATCACTAGACTAATGTAGACTGTCAGATATTATTTAACAAATTTTCACCGCAGGTTTGTCATCGAACTGTAAAATAAAATGACTATGTTGAAAACATTCTAGCAGAATTATAACATTTTGGGAAACTCGGCGGACCCCTGAAAGCATCACGCGAACCGCCTGGGGGTCTGCGGGGGCCACAATTTGAGAAACACTGGTTTAGGGCAAAGTCGTGCTGCTAATGTTTTTGGGTTTCGTCGGATATTACTATTCGTTTTCCTGAGAAAAAGGTTCAACCTGAGTTTAAGGGTTTAATTCAAGCCTGTATTTGACCCAGCATAAGTGAGGTCGCACTTCTGAGTACTACAAATACCGTCAGTAATAAATGCCTAAACTAGTCCTCATACAGTAAACGGAACAGGTTTTCTCAACACTCAACGCCACAATCTGTAACAAAACCACACTTGTTTCAACTCCTTCAATTAGCACATAAGCATGCACAGCGCAAGCTCTTCAATGTTGGTAAACGGCTGCGCTATTGTGAAACAAGTCTTTACCGATTCCTTGGTTTGATAAGCCATCATGTCATGTACTGTGCACCATCCTTAGAGTCTGAAAACTACATCCAGTGGCATCAGCTGAATGATTAGGTAGTTGGAGACCAAAAAATGCTCCTGCCACTAGGGAGAAAAATCTTCTTAAAGAGCAATTAATTTGCAGGATAGTCTTCAATGCAAATAAGAACAGCGGGTGATTTTTAACTGATCGATTCAACAAGAAAACTGTAACGAAGAAAGTACCGTATGAGCTCCTTGTTGTGATGCACCACAACGATGGACCTAACATACTCAAACCCTTGAATCGCTTGAGGACATGCCCGACATACAAGGTGCGTCTAAAAAGTCCGGTAAATGATCTCAGAAAATGAGTGAAATAAGAGTTATAAACCAAATACCGTTATGTGCATTCAAAGTAATTGTCATTAACTGTAATACGCTTCGGACATCGGTTGTATTAGAAAATGTCAGCGGTTTTTTGTGGAATCGCCCGAAGTACCGCGCTCACGTGTTGTTGGATATCCACTACCTCTGTGAAGCGTGATCTTTCAGGGCTAATTTAAGGCGGAGAAACAAAAAGAAGTTTAAAGCAATTGGTTCTCGTCAGAAAGTTAAAAAGCACGGAAAAACGACGAACACTGGGTAGATACACGCCTTTTGTATTGTCGCTTCAGTATTGAAGAGACAAGAAGAAATGCATGCATCTACCATTGTCCGTCTTCGTGCTTTCCAGAAAGAAGTTTGCCGGCGGGAGAAAGCTGATCACGGGAATCGCAGTGTGCGGACATTCGTTACCATCAGCGTGGGCGGTACAAACCGGGCACAAATCTTCCGCATTGTCAATGTTTGTGAACAAGATTGCTTACACTGCACCTATTCTCAACTATTGTTATCGTTCACAAAGATAGTCGCCGATCATCCGCAAGGATCCGTTGCACGTGTTCGATGCTGTCTGGGGTTGCACTTGTTGACGGTCCACCTGCTCATCCTCGGTACCTTCCTTTCCGTCTCCAAAGCGTTTAAACCATGTTAACACATACTTTTTACACTGGTTTAACAGCTTAGACTTGCAGTAACATTTAGTGAGCCTCCGTCGCCGTTTAGCCTAATTTGAAGCAAAAGCATGTTAACCCGTTGCCGCATTTTGAAATGGCCGGCCCGCAGCCTTAAGGGTTACAAGCTCGTCTTGTAATCCGAGGGAGCGGATTCGAGCCTGCGTAAGGACCGGGCGACTCGCAATATCCATAGTCCACGTGCGACTGCTGGTGGCTGCGCAGCAGCGAAATGTCGGTACTGCGTACCGGCGTAATGCTGATGCCTTCTTATTCTTCCATTTTCAAGTGACACGAGTTCTCATATTGACTCCGTTAGCTTGGTCTCAGCGCATATCACTGCTTCATTTTAGTGATTTGCACGATAGCGGGTTTGTCGACATGCTTCTCAATGCGTATGTGCATGCCCCTCATCATAAACAACGCGGGTTTTTAACATATGAGATCATTCAATGAACTTTTCAGACGCACTTTGTGGTATCCCGCTTAGAAGAGGAGAAGCGAACTGCTTGCGCTTGTCGACCGTAGAACAGTATACACTAGGGAGTACAAGCAACTGCGGGTGACCGTTGGGTTGTGGAGTACCCGCCGTGTGTTTGGATTGTGACGCACAACCTCAATTGAGACCAAAAGTCGCTTTAAAGCAGACCTCTGCCACTTCGATCACTGAGACCGCATCCAAAGTGAACAGTTTCGGAGCTGCTAGGAAACTCACCAACTGCAGATGAAATTTAGCGGATTCGCAACTAATGGAGCAAGATCCGTTTGGTTTGAGGTGGGCGATAGCAAGCCAGTGGGTAAGAACTACAGTCACACTATCAGAGACAACTAGTATTCTGTGCCGCTCAGACTCAAAAGGAAAACTGTGGTCATTTATGAGTCACTTCGGCGGTACACATTAAAATTGGAACGACAGAATATTCGCATGGCCTCTGCGCAAGGATGAAAGTAAAATCGTGAAGCGTTCCATATCTTTTAGTCGGTCCGTAGCCTGAAGGTAACAAGCTCGTCTGTAGGCGCGGGTTTGAGCATACGTGGGGGCAGGGCAAACCCTGAAGCATCCTTAGCCCACGTGCGACCGGTGATGGTTGCGCGGCAGCGAAGCGTCGGTACTATGTACCGGCGTATTGCTGTTGCCTTTCTTTTTCCGTCTTACGAGAAGAGTCATCGGCCATTCCCAAACCTAGTATGAAAAGGAATCTGAGAGCAGTCTTCTGGTCTACAACATTTGGCTCAGCTGGTGTAAGTTGTTCTAAAAATATTCGGCAAGTGCTACATAGAGCAGAGATAAGCAAACCGCTGGGATGAGACCACGTTTGATCTCGAGGGCCAAGAGATCACACGTATATGTAATGTATGTTGTGTGTTCACAATGCCATCGTCATTCAAGACGCTGCAATTGCTCATACACGATATACGACCAGGGGCTGTCTGCTTGTGTAGCGGAAGGGCTAAAGGACCGGCAGGACGGCCTAGATAAAATCATGAGCGGTAGATAGCAATGTGATTTAAGTAAACTGTAGTAGTAAGACGCAAACAGAAGTAAAAATCCACTCACAAGTGTATTTGGACCAGGTTCTGAATTGAATAGATTTTCTACCCCGCTGATATTATACCAGGAGAAGTATATGACCTTGTGAGTAACGGTAGAAAACAAGTTTCCGAAACATGCCTGAAACAAAGTGAAAGATAATCAAGGGAGATGATATAACGAATGGCTGTTACAAATCCCACACTTGATTATCTGCGCCGCTATAATGTTTAGGTTTGAAGTGACCTACTTGAGCCCATAACAATTAGAAGTACAGGCCAGTTATGTAAACCGGAAAGCCAACAGACCTAGCAGCAACCGCAATGGATAAAAAAACAAAGCACATCATTATAAAGACAGTTTCGTGAAGAAGTAAACGTTGAGATAAGGTTCCGTAGTCACGAAGAGAGCCAAGAGACAACGAGAACTAGAAAGATTGTGAACGAAAACCACAGTCCATACAATATTTTGGGTTAAAAGGACAAATCTGATTGGAGACGAGCGAAATGCACGTGCCTTAGATTTTTTATGTTAGCAGACAGAAACGGCGGAAGCTGAAACTTCAGAGCACCGTTAAGGAATGAGATATCAAATCTATGGTATGGCGGCAGCGAAAATAGGAAGTTATTGAAAAATGTTCATGCTTAAATAAGTGGTCCAATCAGCGAAAAGATCTCTTCCCAATAATGAGAAAGCATCAGGTAACGTAGCCTGCTACTGGAAACTGGGTTGAAGACAGTTGATCTACGAGACCAGTGAAATGGATAAATATTTAGGTCCATTCACTGGAGGCAGACCATGTAGTCGACGGTACGCCACCAGTGTCTGAGATCGGAGAATTGCTGTGGGGCCAGGGCAACAGAAAGGCTTGTACGACAGCCTTCTGAGTAAGCAATTCCAACTGGATTAGTCTGATAGCTATTGCTTCCATCGGTCTACCCTGTGCGGGAGACTCGTGAGCACCTATCGAAGCATTGACGGTCTATGTGAGCAGCTGTGGTGTTCGATCCACCTACGACGCGGCGAACTGCTTGTGGGTGTGGCACATCGTAGCCCACTGAGTAACGGATTGGATTGGCTCACACACGTCCAAAACCAAATGAGTCGCCCGCAATTCCTGCTCACTGGCGACTTTAACCTTCCTCGAATCTTATGGCCTGAAGTTCAGCTTCTCCCTGGCCATAATGAAGTGGAGACAAAATTCGCCGAACTGGTACTGGAAACCGGAACGGTGCAGCACATCACGCAACCCACCCGCATAACCCCGCGCTCAATGCCATCATGCCTGGACCTGCTGCTAACCAGCTGCGAACAAACAGTTCTTGAGCCCATGGCGGCCAGTGATCACTCGACAATTATGGCCACTATAGACCTGCAGCTTCCATGTGTGCGTCCAGTGGCGCCAACATACAACTATTGGAAAGCTGACTTCGATGGCCTCATTCTAGCTGCCAATCAGCTTGATTGGTCTATGCCACAGGATTCATCCGTTGAAACTTGCTGGGCAAACATTAAAGGGGCAGTGCACTCATTGTGTGCGCAATTTGTACCCCTCAAGACTCGGAAAGTTGGACCAATGAAACCCCATTGGTTTGACAAAGAGTATAACCGACTGTCTCGACAACGGCGTCGACTATGGAGTGCGTTCCTCCTGTCTGGCTCTGCCGATGACTATGAGGCATACAAGCGACAACGAAACTTGTGCAACAGCACAAAGACGCGAAAACGCCGTCAGTTTGAGGAGCAGCTTGCTTGCTCAGCTAGAACTGCCCCGAAGCGCATATTTGCGTACGTGAAGCGACGCCTGAAGTCTGCAGGTAATGTGCCGGTGCTAGTGGGTTCGAACGGACAACCACTAAGTTCAAGCACCGAGCGTGCGTCTGCATTAGCGGCGCACTTCGCTTCTGTATTCGCAAATAACCAAACCTGCGCGCCAAGCTCTGCCGTCGCCGCACCGACTGAGCTAACCGACTTGATCTGCGCCGTCGCGGAGGTACATGGGCTAGTCAGCTGCCTAGACAGCACGAAGCCAGCTGGACCGGATGGTCCCCATCCGCTGATCCTCAAGTCCTTGTCAGCTGCGATCTCACCTGCTGTAACCGACCTGTTCAACCGATCCCTGTCCATAGGCTGCGTGCCTTGTGACTGGAAATGCGCCGTTGTCAAACCGATTCCAAAAGGCGGTGACACACGCAAAGTGGAGAATTACCGCCCTATTTGTTTGACCGCAGTATTGTCGAAAGTTCTGGAGAAGATTGCGAAGAAGAGACTGCTCCAGCTACTAGAGACCAACTCTCTCCTGACGCCTGCACAGCATGGTTTCGTGAGAGGCCGCTCGTGCATCACTAACCTGCTGCTAACATGGCATGAATGGTTGCAAGCAGTAAACCAACGTAAGTCAGTCGACGTGGAATACGTCGATTTCAGTAAGGCCTTCGACAGAGTAAATCACGAGATCCTCTTTCAGAAACTGAGGGAGTGCGGAGTCGGAGGCTCGCTGCACCAATGGATCCGTGACTTCTTAGTTGGACGGAAGTGGAGGGTGCAAGTCGACAGCCACCTGACCGACTGGTACCCGTCGACGAGCGGCGTTCCTCAGGGGACGGTGCTTGGCCCCATTCTCCTCCTGATTCACATCAACGACGTGCCCAATCTCCTTCGGTCGCCTTGTGCCTTGTTCGCGGATGACCTGAAGCTATGGAGGGTGATCCATACGTCGGACGACTTTGACATACTTCAGCAAGACCTCGACCGCCTCTCCATGTGGTCCGCCGAAGTAAGTTTGCCTATCAACTCGGCAAAATCGCTACTTCTGTGCCTCGTACACTCTCGACGGCCAAGTTCTACACCCGACGCATTGCATCAGAGACCTTGGCGTTATACAACGATACGACATGAAGTCACTGGACAACACGGACAATACGTATCGCACAGCATTCGTTCGCTGTGGGCGCTGAAACGTAGCTTCTGCACCTGGTCGAAAGAGATTGCCACTCGTCTCTTCATATCCATTGTATGACCGGTGCTAGAATACGGCTCACCCGCCTACTGTCCGTTGACGAAAGGCGAGATACACAAGCTCGAAAGAGTACAACACATAGCCACACGGCTCATTCCCGGTCTTCAGGGTGTGCCGTATGAAGAAAGATGCAGACAATTGGGTCTGTATACTCTAGCCTACCGCCGCGTGCGAGTGGACCTCATCATGACCCATCGGGTATTGCATCTGGGTGCTTATCCGATGCTGAGGCCACTGCTCCATGTCCGTGCGTCAAGCAGCACACGAGGTCACCAGTACAAACTGGTAGTCCCTGACCTCAAGTGGGTAGCTCATCCCTTGTGTCTTGAGCGGCGAGTGGTGAACATGTGGAACCGTTTGCGCTCGCGGATAGTAGAAGCTAACTCGGTGTCGGAATTCAAACGATTCCGGGACGCGCACTTTGCGGATGCCAGATTCGACGAAGCCTTCACAGGAAACTGACGAAGGAATCGTTCAATGATTATAACCCATGGAGCCCGTTAATCCAGCAACTGCAGCTTCCGAAACGATGCCCATCCGTAATAGGCGGCGGAGCTGGTGAAGGACTCCATGTGGTTCATCCAAGAATATATCGTAAGTACATGGAGATTTTTTCTATGCTTGTAAATATTTTACTTTTTTCACCTGGGCTAGCTCACTACTACAGGTAACACTGTGTCAGTGGGACATGTCCTACACTGAGACATAGCTACATAGATGTTCAACATCTTTCTCACTATCATGACAGTAAAGTAAAGTAAAGTAAAGCTCTCTGAGCGTTTTTGTATAACGCTGTGGCATGGAGTAGAAAGCATAAACGCATCTGCTATCTGGACTTCAAGTCCACTTAGGAATATCAACATCATCATCAATACAAAACACACAGCTGTGTTGTAATACAGAAAGATAAGAGATGAAGAATCGCAGAGTACAAAAGCTAAAAACGTAACATAATGCTAATAACACATTAAGCATTTAGTTGAGATCGTTGTTGGGGAGGGAAGATAAAGGGGATAAATAAAGAGACTCACAATACAAACGACACTGACATCGGCTGCTCACCATGTCAGCTAGTGTACTTAACCATCATCATCATCAACAGCCGTACATCAGCCATTTGAACTGATGCTTCGCTGCCATGCAACCATGAGGACCTATGAAATAAAGAATAAGAAGAGGGAGAGAAGGGGGACTTACCTGAAAACCTTAATGCCCTAAGCAAACATTCAGGGTCAAGGCGCCTACACCTTGTGTCAACAACATACCGTCACAAACAGCTGGCTATCGTGCAAAGATAAGGCGACATCGGCGAGACAGCTTCCTTGCGGCTTTCACTGCCACGCGTCATAATCAGCCATTACCCCGCAGATAACTCAGCACCAAACACACTTTAAACAGATAATCCGATTAGGAGACGGCAGCAGACGCGCCACTGGTGTCGGTTGCGAGCCATGTCCTGTAAAGTCTCGAGCCAAGCACAAGGTGAGTCACGTGGACTCCAACCCGGAAGGCGAGACGGACCAACGGCACAAAGTTTGGTCGTCAGTGACTTCATTTCCCGCTGCCAAATCAACTTCTGTCCACCTCGAGCCTTGCGCCATCCGACACCTGGTAGACTGAACAAGGCCCTCCTAGGTAAGCGTTGACCAGGCATGCGTAGCACGTGCCCGAGCCAACGTAACTTATTCAGTGCTATCTGTTGTTCTAGGGAGCTAGCATGATCATCACCACCTAGTACTCGCCTACGCACATCATCGTTGCGGACACGCTGGTGCCATCCGACACCAGCAATGCTTCGCAAACAACGATGATCAAAGACTTGAAGGCGCCTCAGATCTTCAAACCGAAGGGGCCAAGTCTCACTACCATACAGCAGAACGGCCCTCACTGTGGCCTTGTATACACGGCCTTTCAGACGGAGGGAAACTCCCTTCTGTCGCCAAAGATGACGCAGGTTCAAGAAGGCAGCTCTAGCCTTTGCAATGCGTGAGCTCACGTCAGTTTCTATGCGCCCATCATTGCTGATGCAGCTGCCAAGATAAGTGAATTGATCAACCACCTCGTGTATTCAAGCAAACGTGTTCAGTCCTTCGGACCCCTGCCAGGCAGTCGGGAAACACCAACCGACGCCACGTTCGAAGTGAGGGACTTAATTCCTCTAGACCAAGTTGTCGCTTGGCCTCTCCTCTTCCCCATCCAGACCCCGGGTGCGCAAACACACACGATGGAGGAGTCGGTGTGTTGGCATGCGTAACACGTGGCTCAGTCATCGGAGTCTGGTGAGTGATGTAATGGTGCTGAGTGGTTCACTAGTTCTTCCTGCACCAAATACACGACGTCGAACACGCACATTGCTCACACGTGGTTCCCACCAGACAGGAGCTAAGCTTCGAAGGCAGCGATGGTCAAATGCAACTATCCTTTTTATATCGACTGATCTAGTGAGCCAGCTTTCGCAACCGTACAGGATGGTTGAGCGGACGGCTGCACTGTAAACTCAGCCCTTCAGAGCGAGTGATGTCACACTGGTGCCAAAAGTGGCGTAGATTGGCAAAAGCACTTCGAGCTTTCGCTAAACGTTTCGTAACCTCATCTTCAATCCCATAGGCGCTAAGATAGCTGCCCAGATACTTAAATTTCTGGACGACTTCTAGTTGATCACCGCTTTGCATTTCGACGGTGCAAGGCATAAGCCGAAACGAATGACAGCCAGAACTAATTTATTCAGTGTACCTTGGCACATTTTTGACCTGTCACAGATGAGCGCAATGTCGTCGGCATAACAAGTCAAGAAGTCGGTCACCTGGGAGCAGCTCCACACCTTCCAAGTCATGCCCAGCGAAAGCCGTTTCCATGACTTCGTTAATGACGAGATTAAAGAGAAATGGTGACAGCGGGCAACCTTGTTTTACCCCGCTGGAGATAATGAACGGCGGCAAAAGATTGCCGTAAACCCTCGCTCTGCCCCAAGTATACGCGTACAGCGCTCTTATGACAGTTACATAGATCTGGAGCACATCTTTCCTCAGTAGACAGTCCCAAAGGGCACATTGATCAACAGAACTGAGTCCCTTTTATGTCTAGAAACACGACTACAGTGGGTCGTTAATAAACATGGCGGTGCTTCAACAATTGATGTAATGTGAAGTGTTGGTCAATGCAGCCTCGACTGTGACCAAACCCGGCTTGCTCCTCGAGTAGCTGGCTTTCACGGGCGCCAGTTAGTCTATGGAGGATGACAGAGGCATGTAATTTAGAGGTACTAGAGACCAGACGAATTACTACATGACTACCGCATTCCGAACCAAAGCCCCGCTTGAAAACGGGGGCTGTAACGGAACGGTCCAGTCTGTCGGGACAGTTTCTTGCTCCCAAAGTTCCACAAGCAACTCATGTACGAGAGCAGGTCTCCCAAATTTGAAGAGGGCTGGGAGAATTCTATCTGCCCCTGCGGCGTTATGCAAGTTTAGAAATCTGATCTCAATCGACTTCTGCGTGTTAAGGTGGATCTAGATAGACGGCCCATGGAGTAGAGAGATCATTCGCCGATGGAGCTGGTAATGATGACTGATTGAACTGCTTCTGAAAGTGGTCAACCCAACGCTCCAAACGATCTGACAAGCTGCTAATTGGCTGCCCACACACGTCGCATATAGTTTCGCTAACACCAGATCTCCTGTTGCCCGTTTCTCGTATCACACGGTTACCAGAAGCACCGGCTGTCGCCATCTCCGATGCACGATGAGACCACAAGACTTTGCGGTCTCTGCTAAGGCTAGCACGCAGTTTCGCCTTGAGCTCTTTGTGAGTCTCATTGCATTTGCTTCCAGCCGGAACATTTCGGCCAGGCTCCGTAAGTTCCAGAGACTTCGTAGAGAGCAAATGTCCAGGTTGGCGTTTTGATCTGCCACACTAAGGAGCAAATGCTCCAGGATAGCAATGCTGATGCTTCTAACTATGCTTCTTCGTAGTGACTCCAGAAAGTGTGCTTCCACTAGTTCTGAAGAGTACTTGGACGCGCGTCCAAGACATTTTGCAAGAAGCGACAGAAAAAGCCGAGTATCGAAAATTTGTTGTCCAATTTGCCGCTGCACACAACATAGCGCTCACCATCGGACTGGAAGGCAGCAACTTCGCTGCATTTTTGGAGGTTCACACCACCAGGGCGTCACACGCGTCAGAGCACAGAGCAGTGCTCAGTAGAGCGACTTGGAGCGGTTAATATGTCCGCATCACTAGCCTCGTTGCAATGAATCAGAAAAGTAACTTAGTCCGTTGCCAAACGGGATAAGTCATGAGGGTATAAACGGAGGACAGCAAGCTGCGATTAGACTGTACTTTTGTCACATATAGCCTTGTTGACAGCAGGTTTCCTGTTGCCAGTTACCGGTATCAGACAGTTTCCGAAAGTTACCGAGGGAAGCGGCTGTCTACCTTTGTTGAAATAGCGTACAGGAACAAAAACACGGGAAGGCTGGAACAGTAGCACTCACATGTAACGATCCAACTCAATGCAGATGGCGAGATTGTTTATCATCTGCGACCGCTAGAGGACCAAGAAAACGCGTGACGAAAAGTTTATTGTACTGCATGGATACTGCTAGGTTGCTCAGATCTAGACATAACGATGGGGTTCCCAACTAAAGACATGGGTTTAGAAAGTTGACCACAAGGAAGCGAGTTTGATAATGGGTTGCAGATCCCGCTTCAAGGAATAAGGAGCCACACTCACTAATTGCAAACCTGGAGGCTGAACTTTCGTGGCGAGAAAAGATTGATCAGTCTTGTATTAGTGACTGATGGTCCAAGAAGAATCACGCAGAACAGCGTAATGGACCCTTGAGGACGCTAGCTAGGGTCTAGCCTGCCCGCAATCGATGTAGCCATCGATGTAGCCAGTCCATCTGAATCTGAATCTGAGGTCTCGGAAAAAATTTCCTTTGAGTACGGATAGTTGCAATCAGGAGAAACACATTTATCGCACATGCCAAGGTAACATTGGAAAGGCCTTTCTGAGTGGCCGTCATGTGACCGGAACGTATCTCAATGGGACACATGGGTACACAAATCGGCTACTCACGGTGTAGTGACCAGGAGATTGTCCTATTTGTCTGTGTAAAATATTATTAAGAGATCATTCTGTACATAGACAACTCAGGAAGCTTGCCTGTTCGCACAACTACGTGTTTGAGTCATCCAGACGAATCGCATTCGCGCGCTTCTGGCTTTGCCGCCTCGAAGGGCGTTTGCTGCGTCTCGGATGGCGACCATACTTTTCCCCTAGCTAGAACCATTTTGCGGTGCCTTCAGCTAGCGGAATTGTACGTTTCGACAATAAACGTCTATTTCGTCCATATACGTCTTTTTCCGACTTTTCCTTGAGGCGGGACGGACCTGGTATATAGCGATCGAACGATTCCCCTAAAACGGTTTTCCAACTGTCACTGACATACACCAATCCGACACTCATGCTTAGTGGTGGTTAAAGGGGGCTTCCTTCATTTCCGTGAAAATTCCCAAGCCAGTGGCAGGATGAGTAAAAATAGTATAGGATGAAGGGTGAGCTGGACATTTATGAAACAAGCTAACTGATTAGTGATGACTCAGTTTGCATAGTGCCGTAATAAACCGTAGGCCCCGGACCAAATGCAAAGCAGGAATGTAACTGTTTCCAAAACATGGGTATGAAACCCAGCGAGTGTTATGGTAAGAAGTATTGTCCGATCAAGAACTGAGTGTATGATGTTTTAATAGAGTAAAATGATGCAACCTGTTAGGGTGCGAGTAACGCAAAGGGGGCCGAGAATCAAACTTAGGTTTTTAACAGGTCAGGTTTGAGGCCAAAAATATGTCGGGGCTTGAGCACCGAGCTACGTACTTTGTACTCTCCATTGACAGTATCGTTCAGCACTAAAGACTCATAAGAACTCCTTTTAAGATGCTTAACAACTTTCCGATCGGGGCCAAAAAGCGTGAAGTCGACATCGTAGTTACCGCCAGACAAGACCTACAGTTGCAACCAATGAGAAAAAGGTCAAACCTGAAAATCAATATGATATAGGCCACCACTGCTCATCGTGCTAAAAAAGCAGCGAGAGTCGCGATCCACCAGTTCAAATGTGAGAGATGAGCACAAGCCAGCATTCCAAAACTGTAGCGCAGAAAATAACAACAAGCACAACATAGCGGGAGCGGGCTACTGAACCGCAGATAGACTGTGGGGCTGGGCGTGTTGGTTCAGAAAGAGGATCATACCGTCGCATAAAAGCGAATAAATATCCGTAGAATACACAGCACACCCTTTAAAACTGCATTTTATAATAAAGTAGTAAGTTTGTATATTTATGTTAATAACCCCTGGGTTATTACTTGTTTCTTATCGTATCAAAGCAAGTGAAGTGTGGTGTTTACGGACGAAAACGCACAGGATTCTTTTGCCAGTGGGGCGTAATAACTACAAATGGCATATGAAGAGTTTCGAAAGCATCATCTACGTTATCCACTGAATTGGCGAATAGGGACGCTTTTCCACGAATGGATCAATTACCCCCGAAAAAGGACACGTGCTATTCAAGTTCAAGTTCAGTTGGGACCGGAACGATAGGATAATCCCGTGAATGTTCCTTCTTTTGCGTATCGTTGGATCGGGAATTGACAGGTCTGCTTGAGATGTTGAAAAGCCTTAGTCAAAGACCGCATCACACCCTGTCCAACCAATTACTGCCCACATTTTCCTGCCCAGCAGTCCCTGCCGGGCCGGTTTATGTGAAGTAAAAGGGTGAAGGGTAAGCTAAGAAAAGAAGAGAAGGAATGTCAGCTAAATAATGATAATACCAAGGTGAGAAGAAAATTAAAAAAGAACGAAGGGAAAGTTGAAGATACAAGTCGGTTAGGAGAAGGGGAAGGTTTGGTACTGCCACCCTAGAGCATCTAACTGACGCTCGAAACCCTCTACCGTAGACTCCCTAACCACGTGCGCCGGAAGCGAGTTCCAACGTTCAATAACTCGACGCGACAAGCGAGTTTCCGTCCTTACCCGGTCAGAACGCTGTTTGTGCAGCTTCAACGGGTGACCTCGGAGACTAGGCAGCTTGGCGGGACTAAATAGCCAGGACAAACCTGGACCGATCTTACCCGTTAAGATACGGTAAGTGAGAATCAAGTCTCCTCTAATTCTGCGGTTGTGCATTGAGTACATACCCAAGCTAAGCAAGCGTTCGGGATACGTTTGCCCCCGTAATCCTTGCACTAACCTTGTACCCACTCGCAAAACCCTCTCCAGTTCCATTTTGTCCCTTACAAGACAAGGTGGACAAGTCTGGATACAGTACTCTAAGTGAGGTCGCACGAAAGCTGAGAACAGCTTCACAAAGATATTGGCCGTTAGGACACCGAAGGAGCGGTGAATAAACCACATCATACAGAACCCTCTCCAAGCAGCCTTCCTCCAATTTTCCCCAGAGTGAAGCAATGAGGTATGGGTGATACCTAGATCAACCTGCTGAATGGCAACAGGGAGTTCTCTTCCACCAACTACATAGCGCGTGGGGGCACTAGCACCTCCAATGCGGAGGACAGAACATTTCGCCTTGCAAGCTAAGCAGGAGCAGTAGTTGGCACTCAATACCGCGACAGTAACTTAATTAGCAATTGTTCTGCTTCGCGAACAATGGTATGCACTTGGCAGTGCAGAGCATGGTCTGTAAGCAAAAAGTTTAACTGTCAACTGCGGATAGCTGGCTCCGGTGTGTTTTGTTTCCTGGGACTTTATTACCAAGTTCAAGTTCGGGAGGGACTGGAACGATAGGAGTATCCAGTGTGTGTTTCAGCTTGAATGCATCGTTGAGCCAGGGATCGCTGAAGTGCGCAGAGTTCTTGATGGACTTAAAGTGGAACACCCGTATCGCTCCCTGGCCAGCCAGTTAATGCCCACGTTTTCTGCCCTAACAATCCCTGCTGTGAAAGTCACGTGAAGTAAGAAATGGATAGGAAGAGAAAGCAAAGTTACAGAAGAAGTAAGTGCACTTGAACTGCAAGGATAATACTATTTTTTGAAGGAAAGTACAGAAAAGTAAAACGGACCATGAAGATGAGAGTTACTCAGGAAACATGAAAGCATTCGTGCTGCCACCCAAAAGCCTCAAGTTGCCGCTTAAACCACTTAGATGTAGATTTCTTGATAACGCTTTCCGGAAGCATGTTCCAGCTCTCGATAACTAGGCGTGACAGTCGGATTCCCGCCCCAATCCGATCGGACCGTGGTTTGCCCAGCTTCATATATTGACCGCGTAGAGTAGACAATATAGCGGGACTGAACAGCTAAGATAATGCTCGACCAACCTTCTCAGTTAAGATACGGCAGGTTAGGATTATGTCACCACTAAGCCTTCGGCAGTGCATAGGATGCATTCTTAAACTAAGTAGACATTCGGGGTACTTCCGCCCCAGTAATACATCGGCTAATCTAGTACCCACCCGTCAAACCTTCCTAGCTTCATTGTGTCCCGGTCAAGGCAGAGCGGACAAGCTTGGGCGCAGTATTTCATATGAGGCCGAACGAAAGCCGAGAACAGTCTCGTACACATGCTGTCTGTCAAGACTCCGAAGTAACGTCGTATTAACCACAACATACGGAGACCTCTGCTTGCGGCCTTTTTCCAGTTGTCACCGGAGTGTATAGCCGAAGGGTGTACGACGCCTAGGTCAACGTGGCTAGATACACGGGGAAGTCGACCCCACTGATCAAGTACTTTGTGGGAGGAAACCTCCCCCACTTCGCATAACAGATCACATTGCCTGATTTATGACAGTAACCATAAAGTAGACCAGTCCGAAAGCTTATCCAATTCTCGCCAGATAGCTTCGGAATCACCAAGAACCTCGACAACCTTCCGCAACTTTTAGTCGTCACCAAATTGCAGCGATGGTACTTCAAGCTCCGCGGATAGTTCATTCACATAGTTAGTGAACAGCAGCGGTTCAAGGACGTAGCCCTGCGGCACGCCACCGAGGAGAGACTGCCCAAAGGATAAGCCCCGGCCTACCCGTACACACATTCTCTACCATCCAAGAAATCAGGCACCCAATGAACTGAGCAGCCAGATACCCCGTAGGATGTCAACTTTTTGCGAGTCTCAAATGGAGTACATTGTCAATGGCCATCGAAAAGTCGACGAAAAGCGCGTCCAGTGCTAACACTTTCTCGAAATTGAGCCGAACGTTCCTTAGAGGTTGCCTGCACCTTTCTCTAGCCTCACGATACTTGTTATAGGTCTGGGTGCATGGAGAATATCGGTAAGTCCGTCAACCTTTTGACATACATGTGAGCAGATGCCTGCCGGTAGAATATATCCAGGGCGGCTGTGCTCGTGCCACTTTCTCCATGTGACCGGGATGAATTGAGCAGAGACCTCTGTGAAGTAGGACGTCAATTTGTCCCAGGCAACCTGGACCATATCGTCGTCTGAGATCGAACAATGGAAAACCAAAGGCTTGACTCCCATTGTTCGATAGTCTGCTATCCCTAGGTTCGGGAGACTCAACAGTACTCTGGTAGCTCCTGGACAGAATACAACTGAAGCGCAATCAAAATACTCACCGGAACCCAGTGGACGTCTGTAGGTAATCTCTTTAACAAAATCGGGTGAATTAGAAAATACAAGGTCTAAGATAGACGGTAATTGGACGTCCATGTACCTAGTGTTGAGGTGAATGAAATAATGCAAGGGTACTAGGAGCGTAAGCCAAATAGTTCAGAGCCGAATACGACTGACTTACAGTTGCATGAAAGATCTGAACAGCAAACTTCCGGGAGGTTGAAGTTGTCCATCACCAAACACCTGTTTGCGTAATGGGAGCAAAAAAAGTCAAGGACCTCGGTGGACACGCCCCCACGGCTTCTATACACAATTACAATAGTAACCTGAACCGAGCATGTGCTAATCGCAGCCGATAGGGCTGCAGTTGTTTCGTCTACCGACTGAAATAAGAAAGCAGTCAAAACCTTCCGTTTACTTCTCACATAAAGGCCAGCGGAGCGGTCGCATCTAAATAGTGCGTAGCCAGGTAGATGTAATGTACCATCCGTGATGCCTGAGACAGCTACAGTTAAGTGAATTCGAATATATCGGGATGAGGCCCATTTACAAGCAATCCCAACTCTAACCTTTTTAGTGCTTAGTCCGGAGGCGTGGAAGCATAACGAGTCAAGGCTCGTTGTGTGGTGCCCACCCACGGAAATCTTTAGTAAAAGGCGAACGGTTCATTTTCAACTGTGGAGACAGCAGGGATCTTTGGGATTACTGGCTGTCTATTACAAACATTTTGACAAGTGTGGCGTCATGGCTAACAAACGATGTTTGCATTAAATAAATAAGAAAATAAGTAAATGGCATATTCTTTGTAAAATGAGACACACCTCTAAAGGCGTGATCAAATATGCGTAAAAGCGTAGCTTCTTTGGAATATTAAAACATTTCGTTTCATTGAAAGGAATAAACAAAAAGATGTAGTCCACATGAGCAAGCATATTGTCAGGTAATAGCCAGATCAAGGACCATGATGGCGCTGTGGCGCGCTAAAAATGTTGCGTCAAGACACAAGCGGGGGGTAAATTTGCCATGTAGTGATCGATGAGCACAGGAGCCCAAACAAGGTTTAGTGCAATCAATGACCATTACGAAGCCGGGATGATCTGTACTCCATAAAAGCATTCTTCATAGTAAAATCAGTTGCACAGGTTGGATGTAGAAGGCTGAGGACTGCGTCAGTGCGAAATGTATAGCTGTGACCCTATTTTGTGGCGAGTCACATCCGCCACGTTGCAGTGTTGTTAAGCGGACCTTTGTGGCTTTTTATAGGGAGAATGCTTGCCAGGCGAAAACCCACCACGTCCTGGAACACTGTCGTGGCTTCCGTTGAACTATAGTGCTAGTCGGCTATGCATCGTATAGACCGATTTTGCACTCTATTATTCGCAGTCGGTTGACAGCCAAAATTCTTCCTTCGTTGGCCGAATGGCTTAGTAATGATCCGGCGTTAGTCGTTGAAGCCAGTCAATCATGTAAAAGAGTCGCAGAGTCTAATGATAATGACGCAGGTGAGTAAACACATTGTTAATAGAGGCCGGCTCTTTCTAATATATTGTCCGGTTCGCAACCCGTGTCCAGCTATCCATGCTGGACTTGTCATAGGGACGGTGAGTGCAGTTGTTTCTTGTGTCTGAATATGTCCATAACAGGAAAAAAT